TATGAAAATAGACCAGAATCAAATAATGAGACCTAGCTCTCTTCTGTTAAAAGTGTTTAATTTTTCTGTGATGTCTCCTGATTAGTGTAATAATCTGCTATCTGTGTAGTTTCTGACTTGGCAATGCCTGAGGGTTGATTTTAAAACAAAACAATTGGTGATGGCTATTCTGGATACAAGAAGCATTGCAGAAGACACCAGCAAGGAAGTCACAGAAAAAGAAAGCATAAGGTAATTCATAGTGATATTTTAAAGGATAAAGGGATGGATGACATCAGAAGAGAACAGGTCAAGTAAGCAGCAGAAACCTGCCTTGGCCAGGACCTGCAGATAACCATTTTGAATCTGAGGCAGAACAGGAATCAAAACCAACAAGGACAGCTAAACAAGGACATAACTGAGCTAAATAAGAAGGCCTTTGGTGGTACAATAACGCCAATGTAGTAAGTCATGCAACTGAAGACAGAAGATAAGTGGGATCAAAGAATAGCACTTAGAACTGATGAGGTCAAGAACAAGGTTTTGCCAGAAGAAAAGTGATACAGCTGGTGGCTGTCAAAAATGGTGAATGGGAGGGAGGACACTGTTGTAACTTTCCAGTTGCTCTCAGCAGAGAAAAGAAACCTGATGGCATCAGAGCAGGAGAGATTAAAGGCTTTTAGTTCCACATCTCTTTCTTTAAAGAGGGAAACAAAACCAAACTGTATCACTATCATCAACTATAAATGGCATGCAGGAAGAGTATTGGAAAATGGAAAATCACAATGTTGCTCAGCAGTGAGAAACTCCCCTCTCCTTCCAGCTGAGGACACGTCACTGGAAAGTCCCAGCCTGGAAAAAAAAATGCAATGAGTAAACAAATTGCGTACACAGCTAAAACAGAAAGGGGAACAAAGTCAAATGATAATTTGACTTTGAAGGATTTTATTTTCAGGTTAGCATTTCCTTGAGTGGCATCAGCTCAAGTTCAGACAAGAAAAATTTTGTTAGAGTGAAAATGGCTGGCAAACACCATGGCTGCTGATATTAGACCATTGAAAGAAAGCTCATTTTTAAAAAATCCAAGATTTCAATCTGTGATTTTTTGAATTTTCTGCTACTGAATGTAGTCAAACGATCCCATTGACAAAGCAGATACTTAGGATTATTACATTGCTGAGAAATTAGGAATGATTGCCTGGCAAGTTTGTGGAATTTGTTCCCCTTAATTTACATATACTTCCAGACAAGGAAGCTGTCCTTAACAAAACCCTTCCCGACAACTCACTGGGCATGTTTCTGTTTTACAAGCAAGATCGGTGGTGAGAATTTTTCCAGCACTGTCTATAAAGAAAACAAGGAAAAACCATAATTTGTCACACTGAGACAAGAAATACAGTGTTGGATAAAATTACAGGATCCTTACTTCTCTAACTAGCATTCACAAAAATACTGACATAAATTATTAGCCTTTTCTGATATAAATCTACTTACAACAAAGGTACTTCATACTAATATCACAGAACTGTTAACTCAAATTCTGGAAACAATTACAGTGACAGCACTTTCTAGCTGTAATATAAAAAAAAATAATCAAGATAGTTTTAACTCTATTTTTCTGTTCTCCCAGTTAATGAGTGCTGCTGCCTCCTGACTGATGTACATGACAGTCCAACCCTGATAGCAAACAACAGATGCCAGCTGTGCAAGTGTTGCACAGACTATCCCCTTCCCAACCCTATCAATAACATAATTAAAATGTATAATTTTATTTTCTTTAAACTCAGGTTCTCTTTAAGTCTCATAGCGACTCAACAGTACTGTGAAAACCATCTCAAGCATGTTATCCTTGACAGCCAATAACTATTATTATGAAACTGCCACCCTGTTCACATCCTCTCAAATTTGGGAAGAGGATCAATAAATATTTTTGGGGGGGAGAAGGTTATGGTTTTTTCTTTGTTTTCTGCATGGCTTCTAATGTGTATAACTAGTAGAAGAGAACAAGAACTTCAGGGAGGTTTGAAATTTTGATTCTTTGTAATTTTTCTTGTTACAAGATAAGAGTGTAAGGTTACTGATGTTGTAAGAGGGGGCACAAGATCTTGAACTGTTAAAGTGGAAGCTCAGGGCCCAAGTCCATTGATCACATCTCTAATTCTGAAGCTTTGAACAGAGAACCACAATGACAAAAGCATTCCCCAGGCACCAAGCTGGAACAGCAAATTTGAAAACCAGATGAGTTTCAGTTCCTGCATCTGCTGCAGTAACTGCACTAAGCTTTCCAAAAGAGAAATGTCATGAATCTCTCTCTCTCTCCTATGCATGGCAGGAGATTCCAGAATGGGGCCAGGGTGGGGACAGAAGTAAAGGCAATGCTCACAAAAATGTACTAACTGGACTTATTATTTTTATAGGAATGTTCTTTTCTCAAAGTAATTTCCTAGCAATAAAAGCAGATTGTGACAGCAACATAAACATGATCTGCTGTTCTTTAAAAGTTGTTCTTTTTCATGTGCACATAACAGTGTTGGTCAGGACAAGGTAGTGTGGCATCTGACAGCCAGAATCTGTCTTATGTTGGATGACACCTATTGCAAGAGGTCTCTCTCTTAACAGATGTTTCAGTTTTGGCTAACACAGTTCACCAGAAGAACTTATCTTACTCGTCTGGAAAGCTGCTGAATAATTTGGAAGCTTTAAAATTGTTTGTGTTCCGGTAGTAAAACCCCACTGTTTGAAACCATTTCAAAAAGAGTTGCATCTCTAATGCTAAGAGGTCTGCTCTTGGATTCAACTCACATGCTGTTCCTCATACCGGTAGCTCAGTCAAGAGCTTACTAATGAAAGTACCATCGTAAAGTTGGACATGGCAGCCAAAAGTCTTGTGTATTTTAGTGTCTGGCTGGCAGCAAGACACACACAAAGTTGATGTACTTACTTACTGAACACCTCATGCAATTAAGTGACACTGAAAAAAAAGCCTTAAAGGTGAAATGTTGGTTCATGCTTTGGGTGACTGGTCATATTTTTTTTTTCAACTGTAATTAAGGTTTCATCTGGTAAAGCCCCCGTAAATAGCATGGATATGGAACTGGTTTGTAGTCAGGGAATATAGAACCTCATGAGTCAGGGAATACAAAACCCCAGAAAGGATGGAAGGCTAAAAATTATCTGAATGAAGCAGAACCAACCACATCTTGCTCAGAAAAGTAATTTCCAGTCAGATCTTACACTTGAAGAAAAATTATCAAACTTAGATATTTCCTAAGAGCCACTGGTGGTTCTCAGAGCAGAAAATTCTGTATCCGGCTTTGCTTAGTGCTCTGCATGTCATTTTGTTTTGTTCATTTTGTTCTTTGCCCTTGCCCATCTTGTTACAATGAAAGTTCACTTGGCAGCTGATGAGGAAAGGAAAACAAGCCTGTGTGACTAAGCAAGAAAATATATGCAAATCTATCTGAAGGTCTTGGAAAACCCAAACATGGTTTTACAGTCCTCACTGACAGGTTAAGCAAAAAAAAAGGTTAAAAGAACCTGAAAGCTTTCAGCATCCAGAAGCTGGAAAATGCTAGAATTAACACAGAACACGCACAAGAAGGCCTGGACTAGGATCAAAAGGGCAGTACAGAAGTCTGTGGCTGCTGGACAAACTTCCTTGGAGGCTACAGAGCTGCACGTAGCTCACAAGCAGTTCACACAGGACACCAAGGGCAGGGCTGGCACCAGAGCTGCGCTGACACAGACACTGGCAAGTGGTATCATTCCTCCAGCAAGAGAGGCTAGTATGGTTTCCAGGGGCCTGGAGACCATAGCAGCTATACAGTTACATATCAGTACAGATTGTGGTAGCACAGAACAGGCTGACAGCACTTCAGCCATGCCTGCCCCAGGGACGGCAAATGTACAAGGCAGACACCTGGGAACGGGAGCCACTTCGCCAAGCTCAGCTAAATAGGCCCTTCAAACAAGCTGATGTGTTCAGACAAATATTAAAAAACAAACCCCAGCAGTGTAATTACCACTTTCTTCATGCTTGCAATTCACTAGTCAGCCATTCCTTTTTCATCACATGAATGACATCACTGTAAGAAATTACTGCCTGAGGACCTAGACTGAAACCGGCTCTGCAATCACATTAAAGGGTCTCTGTGCAGATGCAGGAGCAGAGTTTAAATTAGCTTTCAAATTATTTTACCAAATACCGAATGCAGTAACAAAGAAGTGAAACACTTAAACAACAACCAATCACTCACAATTAAAAACATAAAAGTAGTAATTTTATTCTACAGACCTGACCATTTTAGCAGGGAATTAGCATTGAACGTAGGTGCCTACAAATAAATTGCTATTGGAAAACAAGAGTGTTGGTTTAAAGGCTTAAAGGGTTCACCTCAGCTTGCATGAATAAAAGCATAGCTGTACATATGTGGCTATACAAAAAAGGTTGCAGGTCTTTCCTGTACATTTCAACAGTACTCAGAAGTTGAGCAAGATCAACCTTTGGTTTTCACTCTTGACGTATACAAAACATACTTAGCAAAGCTACTGCATCTCCATGATAGACAAGTTCAAACTTTCCCAAGAACAACACCCCAAAACTACTAAGAGTAAAGCTGTTGCTGTGGTGTTAAGAAATCTTTAGTGTTTTCTAGGCTCATGGACAGGGGCAGTTAAGTTCTTTTTCTCTCCCCTAACTTTCGTTAGGCCTCTGCTCCCCCTCTGGAGCCACAGCTATTCCCCAGCAGACAGACCAGTACAGCAGACAGAGTGCTGCTACCTTGGCACTGCTCCACTTCCAGATTTCTCCCATTTGTTAGGGCGGCAAAGCCACACATGAAAGACACCTCCGTGCTGAGGGGCGAAAGGCGTGGCCACGCTGAAGGGCCCAAAACAGGCCAGAGACTGGCATTATGCAAACCAAGGTGACATTAAATTTAATTATTTTGTTACAATTCAGTATTGTCTACATGCAGAAGCACAGGGTTTCACGGTGTCCATTCCTTACTCAAGTGTTTTCAATGAGATCACGGTGGGGTAGCAGCTCTGCCTATCATAAACCTACCTGCTCTTCAACCAAAGTTACAGGACTCGAATAGTATTTTTGGCAACCTGCTCTCCGAGGTTTTTTTAGGAGTTGCTAGTAACCAAAAGCACCATTATACATATGTAATATCACAGTGATTGTTTCTCTGCTGAAATCTTGTTGCAGGGACATTTGTGAACTAAATGGATTGCTAAGAGCATCATCTAAGTGGCTTGTTGCATAGGAACCATAGTGAGCAGATAATTTGGCTACTATCAGGTCTCAAAGGAAACACTTACTGATACAGCAAAATCACTTCTGCACACCTTCATGCATATACAAAAGCTTTAAGTTACACAAATAAATTATCCCACAGTACCCATTTTATGTCAGTCATACACCCACATAATGTCATCACATATTCGTGTGATGTTCTTCATGTAATTAAACAGATATTTTCCCAATTGGAAGGAAAAGAAACAACAACAAAAAGCAAACTATAAAATCATAGCATCATTTCACAGTGATGCCATTTAAACTTTTACACTGTGAAAACTGTAGACTAATAGAAACAAAGCATATTTCATCTGAAGGCTTTTATTTAGAACTTTGCATATGGATTCGTTCTTATCTGAATCTCATTTATTCCACGTTTTTTATATTATTCTCAGAAGGCAAACGTCTTTGTTATAAACATATTACATTTCCTCTTATCTTCTCTTACAACTGTGTCCTGTAGGAAAAAGTAGCGTTCTGCTTGTCTATTTTGCTGCAACAGCAGAAGTGAGTTGTCAGGCACCAAGTCAGCTACAAATAAGCACGTTTGCCTGTAAGCGTCAAGCAAGTATTCACAACAATTTCGAATCTTGTATTTTAAAAAAAGAATTTTTACAGCTACTTTTAACTAGGATCGATTCGTATTTCCTAGCCCTCAATAAATAGAAAGCATAAGGCATGTGGAATCCAAATTCTTTAATGGAGCTGAAGCTTGAAAGCACCATCTACCATTTGCCCCGCGATTTCAACTAGGACCTTTTCCTTTATCGGTCGAAACACTTCGCTTCCTTCAGACTGACAGCAGCGATGCGGCCGCTGCCGCGGCCGGTCACGCACAGGGGCAGCGAGCGGGATGTGCGGGGGGGGCTGAGGGCCGTGCGAGAAGGGGCCGCGGGCAGGGCGAGCAGCAGCCCCAGAGCCCCGGGCAGGGCGAGTCCCCGCCGGGCCGGGCCCCCCAGCGCTGCCGGCACGGCGGAGGCAGCGGCCAGGCCGCGCTTCTCCGTCCAGCCCCAGCGGCGGGAGCAGCTACTTGCAGAGCCCCTCCAGCCGCTCCAGGGTGCCCTTCATGTCGCGGATGCGCTTGGCCAGGGCGGGCACGGGCTGCATGGCGCGGTCCAGCTCCTCGCAGCGCGCCACCAGCGCGTACATGGCGCGGATGCTGAGGTCGGCCGCCTCGCCCAGGCTCTCCACGCCGTCGCGGTAGGTCTGGATGCAGCCGACGCTGAGCGCCGTCAGCGCCTGCAGCCCGCAGTGCACGTTCCGCAGCAGATCGTCCACCTGCGCCGCCACCTGCCCGGCCAGGGCCACCACGTCCTGCAGCGCCCCGGGGTCGATGGCGGGGATGGACGACCCGCCGCCCCCCGCCGAGGGCTCACCCCGCGGGGCGCCGCTCAGCCGGATCCGCCGCTCCAGGTTGTTGGCTACGAACTGGGTGAGGCGACCCTCGCGCAGCACCGTGCCCTCCAGCTCCAGGGCGCTCGCCAGCGTCGCCCGCCGACCCTCCGGCAGCTGCCGCCCCGCCGCCGCCGCCTCGCCGCCGGCGGCCAGGCTGAGCGCCTCCAGGCTCCGCTCGTCCCGCCCCCGCCCCTCCGACGGCCCGGCGGCCGAGCCCGGCTCCACCATGGCGGGCGACGCGTGCCCAACCACTGCCCCCGCCCACCGGGGGCGCGCCGCCGCCTGTTTACGTCCCTGCCGATTGGCTGCGGGGCGCGCGGGGGCGGGGCCGAGGCTGTTTGCGCGCAGACCGATTGGCCGGCGGGGCACCACTCGCCCGCCGCGCACGGAGAGCCCGTGACTCGGAGACCGGGGCGGGCCCGCCGGCCATGCCCACCCGTGATTGGCCGGCCCGCGGGACAGGGCGTGGCCCCGAGTGTTTGTGTCTCTTCGGATTGGCCGGGGCGGGGGCGGAGAGGCCGCTGCTCCGCCGCAATTGGCGGCGCGCGGCGGTGGAGGGCGGTGCTCGCGCCGTCGGCGCGCGGCGGTTGGCGCGGAGGCGGAAGGGGGCGGGCCCCGCCCGGGTAACAACACCGGGGCGCTGCTGGCGGCTCCTCTCACTCCCCCGCCATGTTATCCTAGCGGCGGCTTCGCTTGCGCCACCACCTCCTAAGCCCTTCACAAAGCCCGGGCAGACACTCCCCAGCGACCCGACCAGCTCGTCCCTACCTGAGCTCGACCCCCTCTCCCCGGCACAACTCTGGGTACCCCCGTCCAACCATGGTCACCACCACGGCGCCGCCGCCCTTCCTGGCTCGGATCTCGGCAGGCACCGAAGACCCGCGGCGGTTGCCGCCCTCCGCCCTGCTCCAGCGCCTCAGGCGCGGGGACAGCAACTGCGAGAACCAGCCCAGCTGCTGCCTTGCGGGCCCGGGGGGCAGCGCCCGCCCCGCGCTGAAGAGGGTGCGGCGGAGGAAGGGAAAGATCCGACCGGGCCCCGCGGGGCTCCTGCCCAGCCGCTACCAGCAGTACCAGCAGCACCGTGCCGGGCTGGGGAGAAGGACGCCGCTAGGAACCGACCTGGTGACGGACCCCCCTCCGGAGGAGCCCCCCGCGCCCGCCCCCTCGAGACCCGCGCCCGGCAACCCCCTCAGGAAGGAGGTAAAGACAGGGCTGCGTTACTTCTGCTCACTTTTCCGTCCCCCCTCACCCCCACTCCCCCCCCACCGGCGCCCGGTGAGCCGGGAGGCCCCTCCGCTCCCCTCGGGGTGGCCGAGGGGGTGGGGGAGGCGGCGCGAGGGGCGCCCCCTCAGCGCGGGGGGTGGGGGGGGGGGAAGGCGGGCGGCAGAGTTTCCGTTACGCTCGGACGGGGCGGGGCGGGGCCGGGAGCGGGGCACGGGCGGCGATTGGCCGACCGGCGCCCACCAATGGGAGCGCGCCGCTGCGCCCCAGCAACAAGCCGGATTTAGCCCTGGCGCTGGCCGCGCGCCAGCCCCGCCCCCCACCCCGCTCGCGAGGGGGGACGTGCGCAGCGCGCAGCGCCCCATGGCGGCCGGGGGGGGCTCCGCGCCCTCAGCCCGCCCGTACCGGCGGAGCGCTGGGAAAAGCGCTGGGATAGCGGGAAGGGCGCGGCTCGATACCCTCTGCCCTGCCTGAGGCGGCCCCGGCGCCTCGCTCCGTGTCCGAGCCGGTGAGGGATCGCGAAGGAGAGGGGTCGTGGTTGACGTGACTCTTCTTTGTCTGCGCAGTTTTTAAAGAACAAGATGGGAAAGACAGAGAAGGCGGCCGTACCCTACGGCCAGCCCGTTCACGGTTTACACCTGTGTGAACAACCAAAGATTAACAGGCCGAAGAGTAAGTGTAATGCGCCGCTGACGAAGATCGCCTCGGCGAAAAAGATAGAGAACTTTTGGCAGGATTCTGTGTCGACGGAAATAATTCAGAAGCAGGAGAAAAAGCCACTTAAAAACACAGAGAACTTCAGAAATGCCAAGTCCAAGAAACCTGTTGCCCTAAATGAAGCGAACCAAAAAGAAAATTACGCTGGGGCAAAGTTCAGTGACCCACCATCTCCCAGTGTCCTTCCAAAGCCTCCCAGCCACTGGGTGGGTGGCACAGCTGAATCTTCTGACCAAAACAGGGAGTTGATGGCAGTCCATTTGAAAACTCTCCTGAAAGTTCAAGCATAGTTTCTAAGATCTCTTGAGTAATTGGCAAAGAAAACTCCATCCAGGAAACTTAAAACATGCCTTGTTGCAACAAAAATTGCAAAAGACTGTCAAGTCTTACAAACACGTAAAAAAAAAAAAAATCCTTGTATTATATTTTTTATGGTTGTGTAAATAGTGTACATCATGTATTATGTGTATATTCTTGTTCATACTTTGAGAGGTACATTTTAGTTTTGTTATGAAAGGATGTATTTTGCACTGCCTGATCGGTAGATGTCTTGTATATAAAATATGGACAATTTTACGTATGTGCTTGACACACGAAGACTTGACTTGCTTTGCACAAGGTAATGAAAATTTTGGAAGGAGAGTACAGCTTTCTGATTTTAAGGTTCCAGATCAAATGTGAATGTTTTATTCATGCACTACTGACAATAGTTTTACATTCTGTCTCCCAATTAAGTAAAAACATGGAATTTTCATACAAATGTGAAATTTTGCTCTCTGCTCTGGAAACAATCTGGAATTCTGTTCATCTGTTTGTTTTCAAAATTAACTGGAATTTGAGTAAAATTCCAACCCATCAATTTGAGCACTGCTGATTTCTTTAAAGAAAAAAAAAAAAAAAGGAACAAAAAAGGAAAGAGCAGAGCTTTCTGCCAAAAATCTAATTGGTCACTAAAAAATTAAATAAAATAATTTGGCCTCCCCTTAAGCATGTCTTGGTTTTCTTTTGTGACTCTGTGTGTGTGTCTGTTAATTATCTTGATTGCCTTCTAGTGCATCAATAGAAATACTTTGTGTTTCTGAGTTTTTAACTGTCTCAGCCTTAATTAGGAAATTCAATAGCTCAGAATTTCTTGTGTTTCAAAAAAAAAAATTCCTTTTTGGTAAGTCATTTTACATTCTTTTTGTTTACTGAAAATTCAGATTTCAAGAAAGTTGGGCAATCACACATTCAAATTCATACTTCAATGCTCCTTAAATATTTTCATAGTAAGTGGATATTAAACTAGTTGATAGGGAATAGTAGCAGTGACAAAAAGGCATGGATGGGGCAAGTGAAACTTCGTATTTTGTAACAGATTTGTCTCTTCCTGATAGCTGTGTCAGAAAACACATTCCGACATATAAAATTCTAAAGGAATTGGATTGTAGATTAGTCTTGACGTGATGAGAAGGTAACGTAGATTTGCGGTTACTAATCCAGTGTTTAAAAAAGATGAACAAATTTAGGAAATGTGTGAAATTTATGTAAGAGAGAAAAGCGTTTTTAAGGTTTGAGGTCCACTGGAAAAAAAGAAATCTCTGCTCTAGTGTACTGAGAACAGTACGTAGGAACAAAACGCCAGCTTTGGTCCCAGCTGAGGTGGCTCTGCAGTGTGGATGGTGTTTTCAGAGGTACATGTTAAGTAACATCAGCCGTGTTTGTGCCTCCTGCGCTGCAGCTGTCGAGACAGCATCGCAGCGACCCGTGGGGGGGGGGATTGGCAGTATCCACTAACACAGCCCTGAAACAAGATTGGTCAAAAGCTAATAAGAAGTAAGGGAGGGTTTCTTGGCTTGTTTATAGAAATTGATTATATAACTGCAAAATTTTTCATTATAATGCTGTTAGGCTATTTACATGTTCTACACTTAAGAGTTCATACAAAATTTGTTTCACCCCAAAGACTCGGAGGTTTGTTGTCTTGCAAAATAGACCTGTATTGATGCACTTGAGGTAAATGTGTGGCCTCAACAGCCCAGTTTCTTGTCTAATCTAAATACTCTATAATTTACTGTGCCCTAGCTTATCTTCTAAAAATGAACAAAACCACTCCTCCACTCCTCTTTTTTTTTTTTTTTTCCTCATTTTTTTTAAATAAACAGTATTTGGCCAAAGAAGAATTCCAGTGGAATCTCACTGAGGATGACTCAAGTAGACTGTAAGTCCCAGTTTACTATATTTGGTATATGCTGTATTGATCTGCTTTTGTACTCCCCCCCCCCCTTTTTTTTTTTGGCCTGAGTGTCACTCAAGTGCAAAGGAAAATGACTTAACGATTCCCCATAGCTTTAGGCAATAGTTTTGGCTAGTCATCTTGCCAAATAGCTTGACAAGAGCGAGTTTCCATCAGACCTGTGGGTTGGTATTATTTAAAAGGAGGTGTCCTTTTTCCCACTTATTATTGTCTCATTACCATCAGCCTCTCTTCTGCCCCTTGAAGCTGATGTGGAACTATGTAGTTTTAATGCTAACTCTGATCCTGTGTAAAACTTATCAATGTAACACGTCTTTGTTTCTGCCCTGTTTTCCCAATACATCCTCAGGATTACAGAATTTGTTAAATGTAAAGTGCTGACAATTCTCAGCTCCTCAGTCAATTCTTTTAAATCTGTTGGATGAGACTTCTGAAGCCTTGAAATTTAAAAATTCCCATACCTTGTTGCACCATGAAGGGTAAGATGACAGTGTTCCATCTGGTCTTTCCTAACAGTGGGGAAAAAAACAAAGCTTATGCAGCATACTTTGGTGTCAGTATTGCTGGTCCTGTGGTCATCCAGCAGAAGGTTTGGGGCACTTCATGCTTCTGGCTTCCTGAGATCTTTGCGTTGAGCCCCTTCCTGCACAATGGACTGGTTTGTGAGACTAGAACTATGTGCAATACACACTTCAGCGGGATCACTTGAAAAACCAGGACATCGCCATTCTTAGGACCATATTCTGCACTTAATTTGTCACTTGCCCACTTTTGTCTTTCTACAGTATCATGCAGGGTTTTTCACTTTCAAGGTTTCCTTCACTTTGACAGATTTCTCAGTCGAGTTCCCTGAAAACAAGACGTATTACACGAACGTGTTGTTTCGGTTTAGAGCCAGTAAATGACAGCAAAACATCAGTGGAGTGACATTTGGAGGACTTCCTTGCAAAGTAATATAATGCCTTGTGAAGTGAACAGCCTCTAAGGAAGAAAATTAACAAAATTAGTGGATATGTTATCAGCTAGTCATGTGTCTGCTGTACAGGAATTAAATAAAGTGGTTATTAAATCTTGTGAGGTCAGGAAGGAAACAAAAGATACTGCACTTTGGTTAGGTAATGAAAATCTTTTCTGATAAAAATCTTTAGTGCAATGCTGCGCAGAACTGCAGAGGGTTCAACTGTGCGAGTTAACTACCAGCTTACTTTTAAACAGTTAAATGTCATGTGATGATGGTCCTGCAAAATTAGCTCTCTTGGAGCGCAGAAGTATTTGTTGTGTCTTCGTGGGTGGCTAAGTCTCAGCCCATTAGACACCTTCATTAATAATGGCTGGGTTGGTGCTCTACGAAAGCTAAAATCCTTCTGTCTCCCGATGCAGCAGAAGATAGAAATCCTCTGTATCTGAACTGTTACACCAGCACCTCTTCAGAGATGATACTGAATTCTTAAACAATCTGTATATGAGGCTGTGAATTTATTTTATTTGATTAATTTCTTATCCAAGGCATATTATTTCAAACAGTTCTTTTAACTCTTTTCAGAGGCTATTTTTTAAGCTTTTGCATTATAAAGCATTTGATACCTGCCACCCATTAGGGTTTTTTTTTCTTCTTTACTCAGTTTTGAGATCTAATATGAAGCCCTATAGATTATATGAAGTCCAAAGATTATAGATAGTGTTTCATTGCGATTTTGGAAATAAGCTTATTTCTGTGTATAAGGTCTTGACACTTCCACCACGCAGTTGAACACATTCCTAATTTTCTTCTGCAGTCTATTTTGCTCTTTGAATTTTGATTTCACAACGTCCTTTAAATATTTTTTCATGATATATGCCTGCCTGAACTTTTTAAGGGGAAATATTTTCTGTTGTAATTTCTAAGATGTTTTTATGTTACGGATAGGCTGGTTCTTACCCAAAAGAAGCTAGGAGGTAAGCAAGAGGTAAAGGTCATAAAGTGTTAGCATTTACCATGAAAAACTGACACGAGCTTGTTGAACAGGAACCAGAGTGTTTGAATATTTTCGATAGAAATAAATATTTAGCAGCTGTTTCACTAGAAAAGGTGGATGAAGGGCACATAAATTAAGGAGAAATACATTATCCAAAAAAGGGACCTAACCCCTGAAGTTGAGCAACAGTGTTATCAGCAATTTTAAGGCTGCGAACTTTTCTGTTTTGCTTTGAGAGCATAGAAGAATGTTATCAGAGCTAAGACAGGAAGGTCAAGAATTCCGCTGAATTTGAAAAATTTTCCTGAGGAATTAATTTGTGCAACAAACATGTCCTAGCAGAGGTACTTCTTCCCCTGTGTTGAAGTCAGCATTCCTCTCGAACATTTTTTCCCATGAGGTAATAAAATCTCATTTGTTCAAGTCCCAGGAAGGAGGCCTTCAGATCTTACAAAGCCCTCAGTTGGAAGGCTGCTTTTGTACTTATGTTTAACCTTAGCTCAGTGGCACAGTGTGTGGCAGATGTAGTCGCTTCATCCGAGTGGTTCATAAACCCTTTTCATTAGTTCGAGAATTTCACTGGTTATGTGTACTTACTCTGTAGGTTGTCACTGGTCAGTGAACTGGTGTGATTTCTCTAATTTATACCTGAAAGAGGAAGTGGGAATCAAGGATTTTTCTTGTATTGATATGATGTTGCTGAGTCTTTAGTTGTAGTTCAGTAAGTGGCTGTATGTATTGCAAGAAGTGGTGTAATCACTGTTGCCATTTTGCCATTCTTAAGGTCGTGGAACAAGGTTTTGAGTAGAGGCTGTTTCTATTAAAGATGTAATTTGCCTCTTTAATGAAGCAGTGTGCTTTCATCAGCACACTTTAATTTGCAAATGTCCTTATAAGTGGTGACGGCAAAGGCCATGAAAACACAAAATTTACTTTGTTTTTTATTCCCTGAAACAAGACCTGGAGCTACATTCAGTCAAGGGCTTAATATACAGAATCAGGCTTTTCTCTTGTTTTCTCTCATCACCTGAATCTTGTGTTCTTTAGTGCCTGGTGACATAGCTGCACAAGAAAGAATAAGGTGTGTCCTTACTTAAAGTGAAATATAACTTGAGATGTGTCATTTGCTTTTATGTGTATATAGCATGAAGCTTTTGTAAGTTTAATTCCTAGCATCAGAATATTCAGCAATTACATGTTGTCATAGCTAGAATATCGATAGGTCATTGTAGGAATCAATGAAGTTGTAAATTGATAGACTTTGTCCAAATTTTAAACATTCTTTGTTTGCATGCACTAAAGAAAGTGGTGATATTTTTTGTGCCCTGTACTAGGAGCAAAAAGGAAAACAATTGACCAGACAGGTAGGAAAACGTACCCGGTAAAACAAGGTCAACTACTAGAGCGAAGCAGCATAGATGTCACCATGAGTTTATGTTGGAAGGAAAGATACTGCAAGAAAAAATATTATCTCCTGAAGTATCTGAAGTTTCTTTAAGAAATTTAAGGGATTTTAATGACTAGATGAAACACAGTTTGCTTCCAGCTCTTGACTGGGACCATCTGGGAACTGACAGTGTGAGCTGACAGGTCTTGCAACTGACTTTTCCTCCGACTGATCAGTACCTACTGTTTATTACTATAAATTGCACATTGGCATAGCATTCTTAATGGCTAGCGCTGCTTCAGGAGTCACAAACTGCTGTATGAGCACTTACTG